ATAGATATAAAGAGAGATGGAGACTGCAATACAATACTAGTATGGGTTTTCAACATTCCACTCTCAGTAATGGCCAGATCATCCAAACAGGAAATCAACAATTAAACATCAAAGTGGCCAGGCGCGGTGGCTCAAGCCTGTAATCCCAGCACTTTGGGAGGCCGAGGCTGGTGGATCACGAGGTCAAGAGATCGAGACCATCCTGGTCAACATGGTGAAACCCCGTCTCTACTAAAAATACAAAAAAAATTAGCTGGGCATGGTGGCACGTGCCTGTAATCCCAGCTACTCAGGAGGCTGAGGCAGGAGAATTGCCTGAACCTAGGAGGCAGAGGTTGCGGTGAGCCGAGATCGCGCCATTGCACTCCAGCCTGGGTAACAAGAGTGAAACTCTGTCTCAAAAAAAAAAACATCAAAGTTAAACTACACTCTAGACTGCTTGGACCTCACAGACATTTACAGAACATTTCATCCAACTGCTGCAGAATACAAATTCTTCTCATAAGCATATGAAACATTCTCCAGGATAAACAATACATTAGGCCACAAAGCAAGTGTCAGTAAATTCAAAAAAGTAGAAATCATATGAAGTATATTTTATTCCACAATGGAATAAAACTGGAAATCAATGACAGGACAAACTTTTGGAAACTATACAAACCCATGGAAAATAAACAACATGCCCCTGAATAATCAATGGGTCAATAAAGATATTAAAAAGAAAAGATTTAAATTTCTTGAAAAACATACACAACATACTACAATCTATGACATACATCAAAAGTACTGTTAAGAGAGAAGTTTATAGCAATAAACACCTACAACAAAAAAGTAGAAAGATTTCAACAAAACAGAAAACCTAATGAGGTACTTCTTAAAGCTAGGAAAGTGAAAGCAAGCCAAACCTAAAATTGGTAGAAGAAAAGAAATAATAGAGATCAAAGCAGAAACAAATGAAGCTGAAACTAAAATAAATACAAAAGATAAATCTTTAGCTAGACCAACTAAAAAGAGAGACAGAAGACCCCAAAAAAATCAGAAATGAAAAAGGAGACATAACAATTGATACCACAGAAATACAAAAGATCATTAAAGTCTATTGCAAACAACTATACGCCAATAAATTGGAAAATCTAAGAGAAATAAATAAATTCCTGGAGACATACAACTTACCAAGATTGAACCATGAAGAAATTAGTAACAAGATTGAAGCAATAAAAAAAAGTCTCCCATCAGAGAAAAGCTCATAACATAGGGAGGCCCTGATCTCTGCCAAAAAATTAAAAATCAGCCAGATGTGGTGGTGTGTGCCTGTGGTCTCAGCTGTTTGGAAGGTTGAGGTAAAAGGATTGCTTGAGCCAGGAGGTCAAGTAAGCAGTGAGCTGGGATTCTGCCACTGGACCCCAGTCTGGGGAACAAAGCAAGATCTTGTCTCAAAAAATAAAATAAATAAATAAATAAATTTTTAAAAAGAAAAGAAAAAGTAAAGAAAAGCCAGTAGCTGATGAAAAAAATCCCACCAAATAACCCAATTGAAAAGTTGGAAAAATATCTGAATCGACATTTCCCAAAAGAAGACATACAAATAGCCAACAGGTGGCAGGAATGTAAATTAGTTCAACCTTATGGATATTTCTCAAAAAACTAAAAGAACTACACACATATACACATATATAATTATACATATATATAGTTTATATATATATATATAGCTTTATATAGTTATATATAGTTTTATATATATATATATAAAACACCTGTACCTATATGTTAATCACAGCACTATCCACAATAGCAAAGTCATGGAACCTTCAATAAATGCCCATCAATAGGTGACTACATAAAGAAAACTATGGAATACTATTTATCCATAAAGAAGAATAAAATCACATCCTTCACAGCAACATAAATGGAGTTGGAGGCCATTATCCTAAATGAACTAACTCAGACACAGAAAACCAAATACTGCATTAAGTGAGAGGTAAACAATGGGTACTCATGGACATAATGATGGAAATAACTGTCACTGGGGACAAAAGCGGGAAAGGTGGGAGGGGGCAAGGGTTGAAAATTAACTGTTGGGTACAGTGTTCACTATTTTGCCATTGGGTACACTAGGAACCCTACTCTCAACAGTATGCAATATATCTATGAATATATCTATGCAACAAACAAGCACATGTACCCCCACAATCTAAAATAAAGTAAAATAAAAATAAGCAATTTGGCTAAATTATTGCAACTACATTGTAGTTGTGAGAAGGGCCCCTTAAGAACAAGAAATGAGTTCATTGCTCCACTGGAAAAAGAAATTCAGGGAAGTTTCTTGGGGAAGTTCACATCTGAGCTAGAGAAAATGACAAATAAAAATTATATGGATGAGGTAGATGAAGGGAAATGAAATTCTTAGCAGAGAGAACAACGTAAGTGAAATAGAAGAGGTTAAAAAACAAACATATAGCTAACAAGTATATGAAAAAGTGTTCAACATCACTAATCATTAAGGAAATACATACCAAAACCACAACAAGATTTCTTTCCCCTAGTTAAAATCGCTTTTATCTAAAAAACAAACAATTAAATGCTGGTGAGGACAGAGAAAGGGGAATGTGCATACACTGCTGATAGAAATGTAAATTAGTGTTGCCGCTATGAAAAATAGTATGGAGGTTCCTCAAAAAACTAAAAATGCCACTATCATATGATCCACCAGTCCTACTGCAGGGCATCTATCCAAAGAAAGAAAATACATATATCTAAGAGATATTTATACTCCTATGTTTACTGCAGAGCTATTCACAATAGCCAAGATATGGATCAACCTAAGTGTCCATCAGCAGATGAATGGATAAAGAAAATGTGATACATATACACAATGGAATATTATTCAGCCAAAAAGAAATGAAATCCTTGCATTTGTAGCAACATGGATAAAGAATCATGCTAAATGAAATAAACCAGGCACAGAAAGACAAATACCACATATTCTCCCACTCATATGCCTGAGCAAAAACAGTTGATCTCATAGAAGTGAAGAGCTGATTGATGGTTACTAGAGGATAGGAAGGGTTTGGGGGAGGAAGGAGATGAATAGAAGTTGGTTAATTGGTACAAAAATACAGTTAGACTGAAGAAATAAAGTCTAGTGTATGATAGTTCAGTAGGGTGACTATAGTTAATATGTGTTGCATAGTTCAAAATAGCTAGAAGATAAGAATTGGAACATTTCCAACATGAAGTAAAGATAAATGTTTGGGCCAGGCGCGATGGCTTACGCCTGTAATTCCAGCACTTTGGGAGGCCGAGGTGGGCAGATCCCTGAGGTTGGGAGTTCAAGACAAGCCTGATCAACACGGAGAAACCCCGTTTCTACTAAAATTACAAAATTTGCCAGGTGTGATGGTGCATGCCTGTAATCCCAACTACTCGGGAGGCTGAGGCAATAGAATCACTTGAACTCGTGGGCAGAAGTTGCAGCGAGCTGAGATTGTGCCATTGCACTTGAGGCTGATCAACAAGAGCTAAACTCTGTCTCAAAAACAAACAAAAGATAAATGTTTGGGTTGATGGCTAACCCAACTACCCTGATTTAATCATTACACATTGCATGCAAGTATCAAAATATCACATGTACCCCCAAAATATGTACAACTATTAAGTACCAATAAAAAAAAGAAAAAAAAATCACAATTATCCAGAATCTGTGAATTTGCAGTGATTAAAATTAGCTTGTTTTGAATATTTTTCAAACTTTATTAGGAGAACCAAAGCCTACTAGAAGGCTAGAGGAGAGGTGGTCCATAATTGAAATGTGGTAAGATGAACTCTAAAGAGTTAGGTAGTAAGAGCTTCTTCAGAGTACAACACAGTTAAAATTTCTGATGAAGAGATCCAAATAGATAATTAGGCAAGTGAGGTCACAGAGACTAGAGGAATTCAAAGGGCAGATGAATTAATAAAAACGGAAAAAAGGTTAAGAAAGAGTGACGGACACAGAAAATTGTAATTGAAGAAAATATCACACTGCACCTAGACCAGTTTACTGAACATATTGGATTTTTAAAACTCTATAAAGCAGCTGGGCATGGTGGCTCACACCTATAATCCCAGCACTCTGGGAGGCCAGGGCCAGTGGGTCATCTGAGGTTAGGAGTTTGAGACCAGCCTGGCCAACATGGCAAAACCCCCATCTCTATGAAAAAAA